ACATTGCAATCAAGTACCACTTCATTCGAGATGTAATTGAAGATGGAGAAGTTGAACTCAACTATTGTAATTACGAAAAGAGCAAATTGCTGATATCTTTGCAAATGCATTTCCAACGTCAAGATTTCAACAATTAAGAGAAGTACTTGAAGTTCAAGAAAAACACATTAAGGAGGAGATGTTAATGTGTAAGGTGTTTTTGTTAATGTGTATACGTGTTTTTAGTAGAAAAGTCAAAGAAATTTGTTGACCAATTGAGGACTAAAATGTAATTTTGTATTGTGTTAAAAGTCCCTTTATGTAGTAAGAGTAAAAATGGATTAGAAGGAAAAAAAATAAAATAAAATAAAAAAAATTCACCTTCCTTCCCCTGTTTTTCCCTTTACTGCTGAAAATCTGCTGCATTATTTCTTTGTGTTACATCAGATTTTAGGATGTCAAAGCTGAAACTACAGACAACACCATGAGCCAGATGATGGTCCTTGTTGAGTTTGAGTTTAGAGAATGGACAAAAGAACCTTCCATTGTCTGTTTCTGTTTGTAATATCTCCCAGCACATGCATACGTACTCTCTAAATTGACTTTTGTGCTTTTCCATAAGTTTTCTCCATGGACTGGATGAAATTGGTAAGCGAGTCCACTTAGAAAATTATGATCTCGAAGCCTAGCCATCACGGAATGCAACTGTACCTCCCCCTCAAATGTGTTTTCCCAATAGATAGTCTCGCAATCAATTTCTAGGAAAATAGCAACAAGTTCACTATAGTGCATTGGTAATGGTCGACCATTTGTGTGGTAGAGAAGGATCTCTGGTTCCATTCAAAGACGCATGTTTCCTTCGATCCATCATTGAAGGTCTACGATACAACATTCTATACCTCCTTGGTTGTGGGGAGATGTTCACGAAAATATATTTCAAATTAAACCATCGTAAGTGTACGATTCATTAACAAGTAATAAAATGGATGTGAGTTCAAGTATTATCCCATGGAGATTGATTTAGTTCAATTTTAATTATCGGGAACCTAACAAAATAATATTATGTGTTGTTATGATAAAATTATAACTAAAATAAACTACGTATGCAATTATGAATAAATTAACTAAACTACATGTAAGCTACGCTTAATGGAAATTGATGTATGTAATGAATTACAAATGTACTAGGATCATGAATTTCCATGTAATAATAATTTTTAATCTTAGTTTACACTTTGACAACACGATTTAATATTGAAGAATCAATGTTTCTATTATATTCAACAATCTCTCTCTAGTAATGTTAAACTCACTCTCATATATGATCCGACTATATTTCTATGATGGATGCGAACATATAAAAATTTATGAACGCTTAAAGATTCACATAAGACATAAAGATATATTTATATTCCCTATCAGACCTTATGTCAATTTATACAATGTCGAACCGATTTTTCTTCTTTCAAATGCATAAAATATACCACCACATTCACACAATTACCATGCACCATAATCATGGAGAAAAGAAATTTATATAAAGCATTCAATATCCAAAAACGTGTTTTTAATGTCAAATATGTAAAACTAAATATTAAAAATTCATATTACATGGTCCAGCATTCTCCGAGCACAAATAAATCTAGCCTAGCATCGCCCAATCAAATCCTAAATTGAATCTTCGAGTTTTGGAATTTTTTTTTCATGTTTCTTACCACTTTCTATGCTCAAAAATGTCCATGAATGTGTTATAATGCATAACAATCACTTAGGGACAGCCCTATGATTTTAAAAGGCATCCCAAGATTTGTTTTCGTAAGAATTTTAATCAAATAAAGAAACCAAAATTTTTTCGTCGGAATTATACTATGCTATAACGTAGTACAAATCAATGCTATAGCATCGTTCAAAGAAATTTAGCCTTGAAATTTGTTGAAAATGACCATGAGACTGCTAGAAAATACACTATGCAGCCGCATAGTGTTGCTAAGCTTCCAAACTTTGCGTTTTAGTCTTCGAACTCGGTTTTCTCATTTCTTGACATCTTTTCTAATTTCTTCTTTTTTTGTTCAATTGATTTTCGATTCTTTCACCTCTTCATTTCTTCTTTTAGGTAATCTTTTGACTCTTTGCACTTTGGTCTTTGAACATTAGTTTTTTATATTTTGGTCCTTTTTCGCTCGTTTCTCCTAGATTCCATTATATTCATCAATGTAGTCCTATAAAACATAGTTTCAAAATATTTAGAAACAATTATCTATGTTTTGTTACCTAAATAAGTGTTTAAAACGCATTTATCAAACCTCCAAATTTAAACTGTTGTTTGTCCTCAAACAAAACGATAGCTTAACTCCACACAAAATATGGTTTGACAACCCATCTTGTCTAAGGATTAAAATTCAGTAATCAACACAATGAACAGCTTTAGCAGTGTAAAATCAAATCAACCTCCATCTTTTATATGCATAACTAGACGTGTGTGTGTGCGCGCGCACGCGCGTTTGTGTAAGAACTCGTGTAAACTATCAAGCTCATGATTGGTTCAACTCCCGATCCGTAAAGGTCAAAAATTTTCTTTCTTCGCTCGAGAGATATACACTCCAAACTTATACGAAATATTGTCCTTAATGTAAAAGTAAAAATAACCAAAATAAAGTAGTAAGCATTAGAGACCCCCCAAGGTAACTGCAGATAGGTGTAAGGATTAGGTTGGTCAGATTGGTAGATATCATGACCACCACCACTTTTCTTTGTTGCTAGGCTTCAATTTTCTATTTCAAGAATTCAAAATAAATATTAATGATAACAAATAAGATATAAATATTTGTAATGTATTCACACCAAAAAGAATTCTAATCTTATAACATTAAGAAGATTGAAATCTAGATGCAACATTAAAAATGCATATCACATCAATGCAAGCTCAATGTAATGCTAAGATGTTAGCAATGGACCTAAATAAAATGAATTCAATAAGTAAACATGCTTAAGTTATTAATGCAAGTCTTAAAATATTATCTAAAATGTTTTAAAAATTATTAAATGCATGAGTTCCTAATCATGGCCCTAAAATACTAATGCAATCCCTAAAAATAGGTGTAATACAATAGCTAATCAAAATAAGTGAAAGGGATAGAAAAATGGGTTGCCTCCCATTAAGTGCTCGATTTATAGTCTAGAGCTCAACTTTTGGGACAAGTGTGTATGACACTTTGAATATGGCTTTGGAGGTTCTGCTTAGTATACTCAATATGACTTTGTTCCTTATTACAACTTTCTTCCAAATTTTAACATTACTCTTCTCCAAGTGGTATGACTTTCGTTTATCACCCCGTTTCGAACTCAACAATTTAAACTTTAATCACCTTTAAGGTTTAATCACAAAATCAATTTTTAAACAAACGATAAAGTCAATTGATTGTATGTTAATTTCCACTTCTTTGAATGCTACAAGTTCTTTTGGCCCGTTATGATTAATTTCTCGATCTTTTATTCTCCTCCTCTTTAATTGAAGTTCTCTTGAGTTCAACATCCGTATTTCGATACTTTTGCAGAAGAAACAACGACATCTTCCCAGAGAGTTCTTCTCTTGTTGTATTTGTAAAAAGTTCAATTGTCGTGATTCCTTTAATTGATGTCCATTAATAACTGATGGAAGAAACAATCCCATAGGCAAATCACTCACATCAAATTGTGGCGAGAGAAATAATGCAACAGGTAATCAAATACGAGAATCAGAATTTTCCTACCAGAATTGTGCTATGCTGTAGCGTAGTACAAATCAATGTTATAGCATAATTTAAAGAAAATTATCCTTGGAATTTGTTGAAAATGACCATGCGACCGCATTGAAAGTAATCTATGTGACTGCATATTATTGCTAAGCTTCCAAACTTTGCATTTTAGTCCCCGAAATTGGTTTTCTTGTCTCTTGACCTCTTTTATTATTTCTTCTTCTTTCAATACTCCATTCTTTTGCTCAATTGATTTTTGATTCTTTCACCTCTTCATTTCTTCTTCCAAGTATCCTTTGACTATTTGTACTTTGGTCCTTAAACTTTGATTTTCTTCCATTCTGGTCCTTTTTTTGCTTGTTTCTCCTAAATGTATTCATATTCATCAATGTTATCCTATAAAATAAAATATAAATTAAGCCATATTTCAACATATTTTCCAATAATTATCTATGTTTTATGACCTAAATAAGTGTGTAAAATGCACTTATTTGGAGATGAAGAAATCGCTGCATCAAGACAAATTCATCGAGTCAATAAGCCCGCTTCCAGCTTTGTTGCTAGTGTCAATACATATCTCATTTGTTAAGACCATGATGAGTAATTGGTCATTCTAGCTAGGAATGCAGAATTGTCTTGGAGGACAATACTATGTGGTGCTGGTGTTGGGATTGGTAGGCTGGTATGCGTGTGATGGCCTTCGGACTCACAACATATTTATGATGGATTATTTTCGACAATAAATCCATGCGTATAGAAATATTTTAACATAATTTGTATAGACACTGATGTGGCAAAATATGATTGAACTATTTATTTATTTATTTTATTTTTGATTTTTTTCAATCTTTCAATAATATCAGGTCATGTGTTGTCTTTAAAATTTTTCTGTGAAAAAATTCTTTACATGTAGCATTGTTGTATTTTGGAATATCAGCCATCAACTGACCTCACGGCTCACACAATGTCGGGTCCATGTGGAACCCACCCATTGGAGGCGACAAGTTTTTAATATTTAAAACTTAGAAAAGTAAACTTATTAGCATGCTAATAACTCTAATAAATAAGCAATTTAGAGATAGTGACTCGTATATAAGTCAAAAAATTTACAATATTTTATAAATCCTCGAATATACTCTCTGGATTTTGACAAAATCAATGAATTACCTGTAGAAGAAACCACCCACGATTGGTGCCTGTCAATTTCAATTCATAATTCCGAAGTCCCAAACACCATTATAAAATGGCTATTTTCACAAATTTTTCGAAAATAAGCTCTCCTTTTTCATATTTGTGATTCTAAATAGTATAATTTCTTTAAAGAAAATAAGTTTCTTAGTATTGTTCATGTCAACTCAAAACTCAAGAAAGCGGACACTGTTAGAAGGGACTATCCATCAGACCCATGATTCAGAACCTTCAGTAAATCTTCCTCAAGCAATGATCACAGAAATATTATTGAGACTACCCGTGAAATCCCTTCTGAAATTCAGGTGCGTTTCCAAGTCATGGCTCTCTTTAATCTCCAGTCCAAGATTCATCAAAACCCATTTCGAAATTTCAACTGATAACAATATATACTACCACAATAAACTAATTTTCAACTCAGATTCAGCTTTTCATATTCTCCACACTTGTTCTTTTTACCCTGAAATAGATGAAAATCCGATTATGGATACTGTTCCGATATATAATCCTTTATCTAACCCGCAGCGTTTAGTACGGATTGTGGGCTCTTGTAATGGGTTGATTTGTGTAGTTTTGGAGCCAGGAATTGTTACTATTTTCAACCCAACTACTAGAAAATCCAGAAAGCTACCCATTTCTGGTACGAGTAACAGTCATGCCAAGGAATACGGGTTTGGTTACGATGAATCCAATGATGATTATAAAGTTGTAGAGTTCTCTTGGACAACTCTTATAATATCGGCCGAATTTGAAAATGAAGTCAAAGTGTACAGTTCAAAAACCAATTCATGGAGAACTATTAATGGGCCAGCCGGTTTCGTTGTTTCCGACTGTAGTGTATTTGTGAATAGAGCTATCCACTGGAAACTATACCCCAATGGTAATCCAATGGATTGGTCTATAATTGCATTCAATGTTACGACCGATAGATACAAAATGGTAGCAAAACCCAAGTATGAAACAGGGCTTGTGAATTCATTGCTAGTGGTTTCAGCTGGACAGCTTTGTGTGTCATGCCTATATTTTACACATGAGGATATTTGGGAGATGAAAGAATATGAAGTGGAAGAATCTTGGACTAAATTGGTTAAAGTTCCAACCAGCTTGGAACTCAAGATGCATATTAACACACGTTCTTTCTTTGTTTCAGAAAATGGTGATGTGTTACTGAAGAATGGGTTTAGTATAGTGTTGTACAAGCCATTGCAGTTTCATGAAATTCATCCATTGAATAAGTGTATTGAAATTGATGCTAAAGGCTATATTTTTTATGTTGCTACCTACACTGAAAGCCTCGTCTTTCCTGATTTTGGATGGGAGCTAGCATCAAAATCTTGTTGAATGTTACGAAATCTTGAAAATCTAGAACGGTGTATATGTTTTTTATGTTGCTACCTTCACTGAAAGCCTCGTGTTTCCTGATTTTGGATGGGAGCTAGCATCAAAATCTTAGGAAAGCTACAATAACATGGTCCATTGTATTGTAATTAGGGTGAACAATAGGTTTGACATGAATAAAGGGAATTAGAGTGCATTGTTTTTTAAACCATTTCTTGTAATACAGCATATTGAAGAATTTAAGTATACTATATTTTAGTTTATATTGTACTTGTTTAGTTGTATCAATAAAAATATGAAATATTTATAAAAATAAGAGATAGAGAATAATATGAAAGAATTGAGAAAAATTCTAAACTCCTACGTGTAATTTATTGAGAATTATAGGCCTATATTTGTAGGTACCTTTAAAGCTACAGAGATATAATGGTCATTCACAAAATACAAAACTCCCTCTTGATTGCCTTGTTTGGTGAAAATTTGATAGGACAAAAATACGAAACGAAGGGGAAAAGTACAAAAAATTTGGAGTAATAAAATATTGCCTCGTCAAAACATTGTCAAAAAAACCAAATGGAAGAACTTGAGTGAAGGAAAAAGAGTATATCTATTCTTCTTGATTTCAACCAATGAAAATTTATGCATTGAGCCATCCATATTTTGTGTGCCAATATCTTCAATGTCACAACTCTGATGAAATATTTTTTCATGCTATTGTCTTGATATAAAATTGAAGGTATACCGTCTTCATAAAATATAGGGAGAATTGTAATCATGGTACCAAACCTTTCATTTTATTACAAACTTGATTCAAATATTTCATTTGTTCTACTCATGGTACCAAACCTTTCAGAATTCATACATGGGGTCCAAATGAAAGGTTAGTTGAGCATAATTTTTTTTTTTTAACCTCTTTTGACTATTTATAAAGGGTAAAAGTATAACTTTACATTATTCACATAAAAAAAAAAACGAGAAAAAGGAAAAGAAATAAAAGAAAAATAGTTTATCATCTTCCTAAATGCAAAACTCCTAATCCCTACCCAACTCTCACCCACCCCCAAAATCACCAAACATTTCAACCAATCATCTTCGCCACCAAACCACCAACACCGCCACTCCTTCCACCCCTCCACCACCACTCATTCCAGCCAAATCCAGTCATCCACCCTCTACCCACCACAACAACACCACCTCTGTCAAAGTCATCCATTCGCACCATCCTCAACGTCTGCACCAACGCGCACAAACCTCAAACCACCATTAGAGGGTGCTAGGGAAGAATGCAATCAACTCCATTCAAACGCAAATCCTCATCTTCTTGTTCTTCAGTTTCTCTTTCACCAATTAAACAATGATTTTGATCTATACATTTCAAGCAACTCCATCACTATGTGTATGGGTTATATATATTAAAGTTTTCTGCACAAACCCAAACTGATTAACCAATTATTTTGAAGAACTTGCAATTCGAGCGATTGTGAGTTTCTTATTGGATGAAATCTTGGACTTGGAGCCATAACAATAAAAGCTGCCCCTATGTTGCTCAATGGGGTGCTGCCACATAGCGTTACTATTTTTATTTTTAAAATTAACACTTTTTCGAAAGACTTTTGGTAGTAGCTTGAAGTTTTTACGTGTGTTAAAAACATAAAAGTGGTTCTTTGTAGAACTTGCTCGACTCAAACTCAATCAATATTCTTGGATATGTTGTAAAATAATGGGATAATTATTGATGATTATTTAGTATTATCATGATACATGAATAAGTCTTATCTATAGTTTAGAAGATCTATATTATTCCAATTGTAACTTTTATTTTGGACCCTATAAATATAGGGCATTGATTCATAATAATACATAATTGAGTTTTAACTCTTTATTTCCTCTCTTATTTTCTCTCTTCACTTTAATTTTATAACACGTTATCAGCACGGTAGCTTAATTTTTTAAAGTTTGAAGAATGTAATAATTTTTTTAAGCATAATTATTTATCGCGTATATAAAAATTAATTTGATAACACGTGAATTTTACATTGGAATCATATTATTTCTGTCGAAGTGATTGCGTAACCTGCCTAAATTTGTCCCTTGATTCTGCCGCTCATTATTGCTTCGACACAATGGTTTATGATTAAAGCAAAAATAACATATTCTACCACCCATTATTCCCTGACGTGCCTCAATTGTGTGTAATTGTTTAAATGTAATTCTTTTGTTAACTTATTTTAGCCAAAGTTTAACATGCAAAGGTAATGATTATTTTCACTCCGATCATTATTTTTTTTTTATTAATGTCATATCAGTGTATGAATTCATCCGATCTATGTTATTCCATCAATTTTTTTTTCAAGAGTTATTCACGTCTTTTCTCAATTTATGTGCAAGACAGGAATTAATATCCAACATTACATCTTTCAATAAAATAAAATAAAAATTGTGTAATGATTTTATATCATTGCACGTGTAACTGTGTCTTCGTTCAATTAATTATCACGTTCTATTCTTTTAATACTAGTATAATTTATGAATTTAGTACTTTATTTATTTATTATAAATAATTTGTTGTTGCTCCCGAAATAGCACAACATTATAATTAATATTCTCGAAGAATATTATTTGCTCCTGAAGAGCATAAATTATTTTTTCAATATTTCAGAAGAATATTGATGTATTGATCTTGAATAAATAATAATAAAATACGTGTGTAATGCTCCGACCCCTTGTGGACCGGAACGCTACTTACTTTACTTAACTAATCGGTGGTTTAGTTATAGGAGAATATGTTTTAGCGGAAGTTTAATTTTTACAATGATAATTTTAACAACAAATTTTCGAATACTTTAAATAAAACACTGAATAAAAAAATAACAGAACGTAATTTATTTGAATAAAACACAACTTGTTCTCGCGTTCAGCGTTATTCAAATACTTTAAAGAAATAACATTGAAAACGTTCACAAAAATAAATCTAAATAACTTGTTCACCGGGTTTTCCATGGGCTCGTTGCACTACTCTCCATCTTTTTCATCATCCAGGCCCAAGGTAGAATCATATCAATCTATAGAGAAGGGGTTAAACCTGTGAGTTAAAAAAACTCAATAGATATCATTGGTGCATTCGTGATCAAACTATACATTTCAAAACTGTAACTTTAGAAACCTTTTCATAGTAAGATTTCCGGTAGAATCCCAAACACGTAGAGTCATGACTTAACAGGACACCTCGATCGGAAGTACATGTCGTACCCAGAGGTACTATTAGATATTGAGGTGTATGCCGTACCGGAGGAACTATTAGACATACAAACATTAACATAAATTTTCATTTGCTAGAAACTTATAACTTAACACGAATTAACACTTTACACATCTACCTATCTTAATTGATGCTTTGAACCTTGTTGAAAAACGTACTCTTTTGATGTTTCAAAAAAAACACTCCGTTGAGAATTGATATTTGGAAAACACTTCTTGATAGCATCAAAACTTCTAGAAAAAACTAATTTTCTCCCCTCTCCTTTCTCTTTTTTCTAGACTTGAAAACTCTCTCTTTATGCTTAGTAGCTTTTATCTTGGTGTGAAAAATGTGTATGCATTGGGACCTATTTATAGATGAAAATCTCATAATTTAAGGGCAAGTGAAGGGCCTAATACTCATTAATACGGGTGCCATTTATGTGGGAGTTATAGGTTTAAGAAGGTGCTAGAAAATCGTGTAGGAATTTGACATTTCATATTCCGCGTACTTCGGTTGATACTGTACAGCCTTTAGTATTTTTATCATAACTTCTTCTCCCAATATCTGATTGAGGTAATTCAAAGTACGTTGGAAAGCTAACTTAAAGAGCTACAACTGTTCTTTAGATATCATTTTTCAAATCGAATATTTTCTATATCGTAAATGGTCTCAAATGAGACTAAAAATCTGAAGTATACTTTAGCCATCCAATATTCATGTTTTAGTGCCACTAAGGTGTTTATAAAATTATTTAGGGTTCTACAACGTGCTCCTGAAGTAGCATATGTTTCGAAGAACATATTATTTTAATGTTTATCCTTGAAGGAAAACACGTAACTTATGTCATATTGATATTGACTGCTTGATTAATTATTATATGATGTTTAATCATATTCTTCGAAACTAATTATATTTTCTTTTACTTTATTGTGTAGTTAATCAAATGGCAAACATCACAAAACTTAAGTTTGCCGCACTTGATATCTCTGAAAAAATTTATTTATCATGGGTACTTGATGTTGATATCCATCTTATCTCAAAAGGTTTGGGAGAGACAATAAAATAAGGAAATAAAGAATCCCTACAGGATCGTGCAAAAGCACTCATCTTCCTTCGTCATCATCTTCACGATGAACTAAAAATTGAATATCTTACTGAGAAAGATCCATAGGTTCTTTGGAAAAAATTAACTGAAAGATTTGATCATCAAAGGACTATAGTCCTTCCCAAAGCCTGTTATGAGTTGATGCACCTTCGTTTGCAAGATTTCAAAATTGTTAGCGGGTACAATTTTGAATTATTCAGAATATGTTCAAAATTGACATTGTGTGGAGAAAAAATCACTGATGAAGATATGTTGGAGAAACTTTTTCCCCTTTTCACGCCTTGAATGTGCTCCTGCAGTAGTAATATTGCGAGCGTGGTTTCAAGAAGTATTCAAAACTTATATCTTATCTGCTTGTTACTGAAGAGAATAGTGAACTGCTGATGAAAAATCATGGATTACGTCCAATTGGTTCTGTACAATTGCCTAAAGCAAATGGTACTGCATTGCCTGAAGCAAATGCAATATCAAGACAAGGACACGGACGTCGACATGGACATGGACATGGATTTAGATGTGGATGCAGACGTGCACGCAGAGTAAGCCATGAACGAAATAATCAACAAAGTTATCAACAATAAGGAAAAAATTTCAAAAGGCACAAAGTAAATGAAAGTAGCATACCTAAAAAGGTACATGAAGAAAGTTGTTTTAGATGTGGAATGAAAAGACATTGTACATGTACCTGTCGTACGGCAAAACACCTTGTGGATCTCTACAAAAAATCAATTAAGGGAAAGAAAAAAGTGGAGACAAATTTTGTTAACTATGATGGTCCAATTGATGTGACTCATTTGGATGTCTCCAATTTCTTTGTTGATTCCAATGAAAATATTGACCATTTGATTGGGGGTGGTGTGATGGAAGATATAGATTAGTTTTTTTTTTCGAGTATTTTCCTTTATTTTAGAAATTTAGTTTGAAATATATTTTTACTTTTCGTAAAAATTTTAAACTTTATTATCTATCGTTAATTTCACAGTATTAATTATGTTTATCAATTTGAATTTAAATTCAAGTTTTTTTAAAAAAAATATATTTATTTTGTTATATTGATAGATTTATGATGGATTGTTAAGACACCTGCTTGATTGATAGTGCAACTACACATACTATCCTTCAAGACAAAAAATATTTTTTGGACTTAACATTAAAAGAAAATAATGTCAAAACAATATCAGGTGCATCGAATATCGTTGAAGGCGCTCCAAAAGAGCTTGTATTATTTTACTAAATAATACAAAATTATATATTAACGATACATTTTATTTTAGCAAATCCAGAAGAAATTTGCTTAGTTTTAAAGATATCCGTTGCAATGGATATCATATTGAAACGACATAAGAAAATAATATCGAATATCTTTTTATAACTTCTTTTGTATCTGGTCAGAAACAGATAAAACAAAAAATTTCATGCACTCCCATCTGGTATGTATTATACATTTATAAAAATGGTTGAACCAAATAATGTCACGAACCAGAATTCGTTGACCCAAAAAATGTTATACTTTGGCATGATCGACTTGGACATCCAGGAGCTATAGTGATGCGTCGAATAATAAATAATTCATATAGACATCCTTTAAAGAACCAAAAGATTCTTTTACCTAATGATTATCCATGTGTAGCTTGTGCGCAATGCAAATTAGTCATTAGACCTTTAACTACAAAGGTCAATATTGAATCTTCAACTTTCTTGGAAAGAATTCATGGAGATATATGTGGGACAATAACCCACCATGCGGATCATTTCGTTATTTTATTGTATTAAATGATTTTTCTACTAGATGGTCACATGTTTGCCTACTTTTCACTAGGAATGTAACCTTTGCTAGACTACTTGCTCAAATTATAAAATTACGAGCACAATTTCTCGATTACTCAATTAAAACTATTCGTCTTGACAATGCTGGTGAATTTAGATAACAAGCATTCGATGATTATTGTATGTCAATCGGGATTGTAATTGAACATTCAATTGCACATGTCCATACACAAAATGGCTTGGCAGAGTCGTTTATTAAGCATCTACAACTTATTGCTAGACCATTACTTATGAAAACAAAACTCCCAGCTTCTATTTGGGGTTAGGTCATACTACATGCTGCATCATTGGGTCGTATTAGACTAACTGCCTATTATCAATATTCACCCTTGCAACTGACATTTGGTTATGAGCCTGATATTTCTCACCTACGGGTCTTTGGTTGTGCTGTCCAAGTTTCTATTTCACCCCCACAACATACTAAAATGGGTTCCCAACGAAAATTTGAAATTTATGTGGATTTTGATTCACCATCAATTATTAGGTATCTTGAACCTTTAACGGGTGATTTATTTACTGCACGTTTTGTATATCGTCATTTTGATAAAAATGACTTTCCCAATTTTGGGAGGGAAAAACTATATCCTAAAAAATCAGGTAAAATTTCTTGGAATGAAACAACTTTATCTCATTTTGATCCCCGTAGCAACCAATGTGAGTAAGAGGTTGAAAAAATCATTTATTTGCAAAGAGTTGCAAATCAATTATCTGATGTATTTGTTGACACAAGAAAAGTGACAAAATCATATGTTCCAACAGAAAATATTCAAGTAAAAATTGATGTTCCTGTAAGAAAATCTGCTGTAACAAATAAATCTCAAATACGTCAGAAGCGTGATCGACCAGTTGGTTCAAAAGACTCTGTACCTCGAAAAAGAAAAGTACATGAGAAAAACCAAACAAAAATTTTGGAAGAAGTTATATTGGAAAAGATTGATCAATCAGATATTGAAAATACAGTTCTTGAAGAACCGTAAGCGTTCGAAAATAATGAGATTTCAATAAATTATATGTTATCTGATAAATTATGGGAACGAAATAATGTTGTTATAGATAATATTTTCACATTTAATGTGGCTCTTGATATTATACAGAATGAAGACCTTGAACCACAATCAGTTAAAGACTGTCAAAATAGAAATGATTGACCAAAATGGAAAGAAGTCATACATGCATAATTGAATTCTTTGGAGAAACGAAAAGTGTTTGGAGCTGTGGTTCGAACACCTGAAAATGTAATCCATGTTGAATACAAATGGATCTTTGTACCAAAAAGAAATGAAAATAATGAAATCACAAGGTACAAAATCCAACTAGTAGCTCAAAGTTCCTCACAAAGACCAGGAATTAATCATGAGGAAACATATTCTCCCGTAATGGACACCATCACTTTTAGATTCTTAATTAGTTTGACCGTATTACAAAAATTTGATATGCGCCTTATGGATGTAATAATTGCATATATGTATGGTTTACTTGATAGTGACATATCTATGAAAGTCCCCGAAGGACTTAAGATATCAGGAACAAACGATACATGCCCGAGAACAATGTTCTCAATTAAATTGTAAAGATCATTATATGGATTAAAACAATCCGGACGCATGTGGTATAATCGCCTTAACGAATATTTGTTGAATGAGGGTTATAAAAATGACGATGTTTGCCCATGCTTTTTCATAAAGAAAACAAATAGTGGATTTGCAATTGTGACAGTTTATGTTGATGATTTAAATTTAATTGGAACTCATGGAGAACTCAACAAAACTGCTGATTATTTGAAAAATGAATTTGAGATGAAGAATTTGGGAAAAATCAAATTTTGTCTTGGATTGCAGATTGAACATTTCGCAAATGAATTATTTGTTCACCAATCTACGTATACAGAAAAAGTTTTAAAACGTTTTTACATGGATAATGCATACCATTGGCATCACCTATGGTTGTTCGATCACTTGATGAGAAAAAAGATCCATTTCGTCCACTTGAAGAAGGAAAAAAAGTTATTGGTCCTGAAGTACTATATCTTAGTGCAATTGAGGCATTAACTTATCTTATAAATTGCACTCGACCCAACATAACTTTTTCTATAAATCTTCTTGCAACATATAGCTCTACACCAACTCAAAGACATTGAAATGTTGTTAAACATATTTTTCGTTACCTAAATGGTACTATTGATTTGAAATTATTTTATTCTCAAAAGTCGGGATCAGCTTTAGTGGGATATGTAGATGCAGATTATCTATTTGACCCACATAAAGCTAAATCACAAACAAGTTATGTGTTTACACGTGGAGGAACGGCTATATCATGGAGATCTGTGAAGTAATTTTCGACAGCTATATCTTCAAATCATTCTGAAATTATTGCAATTCATGAAGCAGACTGAGAACGTGTATGGTTGAGAAACATGACCCATCATATCCAAGCATCATGCGGATTAATTTCAACAAAGGATAGTCCAATAATTTTGTATGAAGACAATGCAACTTGTATTGCATAACTCAAAGGAGACTATATTAAAGATGATAGGACAAATCATATTTCTCCAAAATTCTTTCATACACATGAGTTTTAAAAGAATGAAGATATCGATATCCAACAAATTCGCTCAAGTGACAATGCGACCGATTTATTCACAAAAGCACTGCCAACATCTACATTCAAGAAATTAATTCATGAGATTGGAATGCGTCGATCAAAGATTTTCAGTTATCAACATCAGGGGGAGTAGCTGTACTCTTTTTCCTTAACTTAGGTTTTGTCCCACTGATTTTTCCTAGCAAGATTTTAATAAGGCAGCATTTATTTTTAGTACTCCAAAATAACTGTACTTTTTTTCCTTTGTCTGATTTTTTTCCCATTGGGTTTTTATCAAACAAAGTTTTAACGAGGCAGTTATTGTACAAATAATAATCAAAGGGGGAGTGTTGTAAAATAATGAGATAATTATTGATGATTATTTAGTATTATCATAATACATGGATAAGTCTTATCTATAGTTTAGAAGATCTATTTTATTCCAATTGTAACTCTTATTTTGGACCCTATAAATATAGGACATTGGTTCATAATAATACACAATTGAATTTTAACTCTTTATTTCTTCTCTTATTTTCTATTAAATCTTAAATTCTACTTAAAAATGCTAGTATTATATTCATTTTAGCATTATTTGTGTCAATTTCTTTTAATTATCACAACGATAATTTTGCACTTTAATCACTATAAAATTGAAAATCAAGGATATGTTTATCAACAAATAGTAATTAAAATTTAAGTATGAATTGAGGACTATAAATTCAATTTCTCCATTTCATTTTCCGACAAGGTGATGTCCTAGATACTTGTTTCTCCGTTCTGGCTGCGTTTCCAAAAGGCACACTCCTATCATTTTGCTTCTTGTTCCATTCCAAAATAACCTCCTTATATGGCATCTCCAATGATTTGCACCAATTTAGTGTAGCTTTTAAATCAAATTGGTGCAATTTTCACACCAATTTGAGGTACCATCTCCAAATGATTACATCAAATTTTATGCTAAATGAATAATATTTCTTTTATGGTGTGCAAGTAGTTTTTCCCATTTAACTTAGTAAATTCATATTGACGAATGTTATACTAAAGAACTAGTATGATATGATACTAGATATATATGTTTATGATCATTCGGTACAAAAGATAGGATAGGATATGATAGGAATTCTCACCAAAAATTTTAAAGATATGATATGACAACTTTGTCGAAAAATTCACAAATAAAAATGGCTCCTTAGTCTGTGGATTATAGTGGGAGAAAGTGTAAAAGTTGAAAGATGGAAGCAGCTAATTCTGAAGAAGTGCAAATAGGGAGAAGGAAAAACGTCAGAGGAATTTATAACAAAGTAGTGGAGTTGGGGGGTGGGGGGGGGGGGGATTTCCAGATTTTCTTGAATAAAAAAAAAAAAATCTCCTTTTCCCAAAATTAATGTCATGGACAGATTAATTTTTTACTTATTAAGCTGAAGACAGCTTAATATTTTACTAATCAAGTCTAAATCAAATATTTATTACGAGGATGGGTTCAACGGTACTCTTAATATGCAAGTAGATGTGGTCAATAAGTGAATTAAAATGGAATTAGGTGAAATTAACTTTGAAAACATTGATTTGTTTCTTTAGTGATGTGTTACAAATAGGGAAAAAGGTTGAATGAGTTGTGTTGCTTGCTTGGTAAGATCTAATTTCAGTTATAATTCTGGATTGAAAAATCCTACAATCAAAATGGAGAATGTGCTATAAGCACTTTCAAAATACAAGATCCCGAAAAATGCAGTTGTTTGAGTTTACATTTATCGAGTGAAGTTGTATCATTTATTTGTTATTGTCTTTTTTTTATTATTGTTTTGGTTTTTATTGGAATATATTTTCATATGTATATGATTTTTACGTTTTAGTGCATTTATGTATTGATTGAAGAATTTTTTATATTATTTAATTAAATATTAATAAACTATCTCGTTATTACAGTCGTTGATAATCTATGGCCAACAATCAATTATCAACATTAGCCTTATGTGACCAATAGTATTAGCTTCACCACTGGTCTTGATACTCATCATCGCACCCTTTGATGGGTACATGCCACTGTTGTTCAATTAAATGTGGTAGACAAAACAGTTACAAAGACTTTACAAATTTGACTTCTTCGTGCTACAATCTTCAATTTTCTTGTCATTGTCTAGGAAATCTATCTTGGACACTTTTTCACATCCTTTAAGAACGTAGAAGACAATTCTTCGTATGTAACTTGATTACCACAACTCTACTCCATGTATAGCCTCATATCACCATAACTACACCATGGTGCCATTCTATCATTACAAATTACTCAGTTTTGATGCAAATTAATAACATGACAATATGGACATATTCTTGTTGATAAATGTTTCTTAATTAACTAAAAGCATCTCTCGATGTTAATTAAATATTTTCTCTTATCTAATCTTCTCATATCTCTATGAAAGATAGAACGTGAAAGAATTCATTAAAAATGCTTTAACATTTAAAGAAATCATGCAAAACATAGTAGTATATTTCTAACCCTTATTGGATTTTGCAATGATTGTTATAAAACAATCTATCATATTGTTTCTCTCGAGAATCAATAAAACTTAAAACATTCATTCAAGAATAAATACATATCAGACATCAAATTTCGAACTTATATTAAAACATCATAATAAAGCTTCATCCAATGTCTAAGTAATTAAAACTCTAGCTTAGTATTACAAAATTGTTATAAAATATGTTTAATTGGAAGAGCAAAATCCGAATTTTAAATTGATGAAAAAGAAGAAATTGGATTTTGAAATCTTGAATCCTTAAATAATTTTTCTTTTCTTCTTCTTTTTATTTATTTTTTATTTTAGTTTTTTATGAATCTCCAATTTATCTTCTTCTTGTCTCTCCAAAAACAAGGCTGAAACTACAATTTATAGAAAATTTGTAATTGCCCTTTAATTCTCACAAGAACAATGGATTGTCATCTCTTTGATGATGTTAATTTATGAATTTATGCGTATGAGAGGTTCTTTTTGATGTACGGGACTATTTGTTATTTTATAAAGTTCGAAAATTAGATGAAAAATCGCATTAGATTTACTGTTTGGGAAGATTTTTATGTAAAAGTGGACTTCAGTGGCACCTAGGTGCCCAGTTTCAATAGATTTTTCAGCAACCTAGCGTTTGGGCAATGAGGGATATGCCAACCGCTAGTTGTAATTTTTATAGATTGCAATTTGGTCATCAAATTCGATTCTTGATTCTTTTAAATCTTTTTCTATTGTAATTTTGGTCATTTAACTTCTAATTGTATCCAGTTGAACCCGCAATATCTTCAATTTTCATTTTGTGGTCCGAATTAACTATTAAAAAGTTACAATTAGGTCATTTAACTTTGGATTTCACCATTTTTCATTTCTTTCTTTTTAATTTCACGTCCAATCATCAAGTTTTACCTAATAAACGAGGTATACGATAAATTAGGCCCTAATTAAAAGAACTTCAAACTATCTATATTTAAATATTTGAATAAGTGTATAAAATATACTTATAACGTTCTAATGCTACTTGAGAAGAAGCCTAAAATTACGTGAGAAAACTTCACATTGCGATATTTTCCTCACTTGAAGAAACTTCGTAATACAATTATTTCCTTGAGCGATAGCAAATTGCAATACTCTTGCATCCCCACTATTCTTCCAATTTCACCGGTTAATATTGATTTAAGGGAAAATTGCAGTCGAGGTACCAAAGCTTTCGTTTATTAGCAAATTTTGCCCAAACCTTTAATTTGTGCCACTGGAGGTACCAAACCGTTCAAAAATCTGCACCCGAAGTCCAAATGGATGTAAACCGTCCATTTGACCGTTAGTTGACCAATAAAATTAAATATTGACCAAATTTTGACCAATTGAAAAGGATAAAAAGGTAAAAGTTACTTAACCCTTTAATAAAACAATTAAAATAAATAACTAAAACATTAAAAAAAATACTATTCATCTCCTTCTTCACCCACCCCACGCCCACCCGCACACCACCATACCCCCACCCCATCCAAAACCAAAAACAGAAATTAAACAGCTGCCTTCTTCTTCAACCTCCGCACCCCGTCGCACCCCACCATCAACCCAAACCCAAAACAGCTGCCTTCTTCTTCAACCAGAGGACGTGGTCGATCCCATGTTGGACCGGAACGATCAACATTACTACGAGTATGTGAGCATAGGGAATCGGATTCCACAATATGATGGGATCCTGCTGAATGCATGAGAAGATTTGGACTCCACAACTCTGAAACCTTTCGAGGAAAATAAAATCTGGAGGTCCATGGTGAAGATCCCGGTTTCGGCTCAGCAAATTACAGAGCTGTGGAGGTGGGATGCTTTCGGCTCAATAATATTTGTTTCATTTGGAAGTGGTGGGATGCTTTCGGCTCAGCAAATTACAAAGCTGGTTATTGGTTTAGAATTAAGTGAACAGAGATTTATTTGGGTGGTGCACCCACCCATGAAAGGTGCAGCTGACGAATCATTTTTCACCATAAAAATTGCTGATTCAGATGATACTTCGCACTACTTGCTTGAAGGGTTTTTGACCAGTAGTGGGGTGAGGTGGGGTGCGATGGGGTGGGGAGGTTGAAGAAGAAGGCAGCTATTTAATTTCTGTTTTTGGTTTTGGATGGCATGGGGGTATGGTGGCGTGCGGGTGNTGGCTCAGCAAATTACAGAGCTGTGGAGGTGGGATGCTTTCGGCTCAATAATATTTGTTTCATCTGGAAGTGGTGGGATGCTTTCAGCTCAGCAAATTACAAAGCTAGTTATTGGTTTAGAATTGAGTGAACAGAGATTTATTTGGGTGGTGCGCCCACCCATGAAAGGTGCAGCTGACGAATCATTTTTCACCATAAAAATCGCTGATTCAGATGATACTTTGCACTACTTGCTTGAAGGGTTTTTGACCAGGAGTGGGGTGAGGTGGGGTGCGATGGGGTGGGGAGGTTGAAGAAGAAAGCAGCTATTTAATTTCTGTTTTTGGTTTTGGATGGCGTGGGAGTAGGGTGGCGTGCGGGTGGGGGTGGGGTGGGTGAAGAAGGAGATGAATAGTATTTTTTTAATGTTTTAGTTATTTATTTTAATTATTTTATTATAGGGTTAACTAACTATTACCTTTTTACCCTTTTCAATTGGTCAAAAATTGGTCAATGTTTAATTTTATTGGTCAACTAACGATCAAATGGACGATTTCCATCCATTTGGACTTCGGGTGCAGATTTTTGAAAGGTTTGATACCTCCAATGGCACAAATTAAAGGTTTGGACAAAGTCTGCTAATAAACGAAATGTTTGGTACCTCGGCTGCAATTTTCCCTTGATTTAATTGAGAACTTTAAAGAAAATTACTATTTCGTCTCTCAACTTTAATTGTAAATTTCTTTCTTACTCTTTTCTTTATTTCATAACTTCAGTCAAAATCCCATAAATAAGCACTTGAATGTCATTATTCCTGGACTCAATTTTTCTCCAGTATTTGTTTAGCTCAAGTTACATGTCAAGCCCCAAAATTAGCATCTCTTGGAGCCTGCTTGGAAGTTTCGGAGGACTGGTTATGGGCGTTTTTAAAAGTACTAATTTTGGGTGTTAATGACAGGTTCAATTTTGGTGATTGTATTTTTAAATTGATATTATTCAATTTTGGTGATTGTATTTTTAAATTGATATTATACACCAGCTACAAAAGTGCTTTAAAAGAATAAAATCACATACCCTTTAGTGAATGTTTCAATTAATAATTTTTTATATGAACTCGTACTTCTGGTTGGTATTAATTTAAATCAGATTTTAACCTAAGTTAAATTCAAACAATCAATATTAACTACATTTTATGGGTTTCACAACTTTTTAAACACACATTTCAAATTTTTTTATAAAAATTTATTAAAAATCTAATTTTAATTCTCACCATGCATGGACAAGTGATATTTATGTATAAGTTAATTTTTAACATAAAAAGTAATTTATAATTAAAATTTTAAATTATAATTAGTTTTTCACTTATAAGTAAATTTTAGTTTTATTAATTTTAGTACTTTTAAATAATTTTTTTATATAAAGGAAAAGTTTTTACTTATAAGCAACGTTTTATATTTGAGCTAAATGGCATGTTGTCACTTTTTAAGTATTTTATGATAAATTTAGTTACTAAAGTTAGATAATGTCATTTTATAATTGTAATTCTTATACTTATTTATAGTCATTTACTTGTACTATTGTTAGCTTATTTCATGTTTTTCTTGTTTTCACATTTTTAAGAGATCAATGTGAGTTACACATGGAATGAGGAGTTACGAACTAAAAGAGGGGATTACAATGCACTACGAGAGATTGTGTCTCAAAAAAGATTCCCGGAAGCAAAATATCGACAAAAATGGATCTGAAGTGAAAATCAGCATGAAATATTTCCGATGGCTTTAAAATTTGGTGCTTTCCAGAACATCCCTTTAGGCCTTGTCAAATTTGGAGGCATCCAGAACGGTGTTGGACCTTCTTCAAACCGGGCAATTAAGTGTTAATTTGCTGGTGCATGAATCACAAGGGCATTTTTGAACATTTACGTTACATTTATCTAGGTCAACAAATGGAGAGCGTAAAGGCATAATTGAGAATAAATAAGTGGGCTTTTTTGGAATATCTCCAAAAGACTCTTTAAATATAGAATAACGTTATTTGCAATCGCCCTACGTGACATATATATGACTGTTAGTGGTTTGATGCATAAAGAAATAAAAGACTATCACTTTAATGCATCAAATTACTAACCGCCACATGTATGCCACATAGGACGACTATGATAGTGAGCTACTCCAAAATAGCATTACTCTTAAATGTAAAATACTTTCTATTTTAAAGAGCCAACATTGAAAATAATGTTCCAAGAGACTTTTAAATTAACGTTTTAATTTATAAATAACGTTTTAAATTTTTGGAAATGGTAAATTTAAGTGTTAAATATAAAGAACTTGTTGGGGTACTTATAAATTTTTACTTTCTAAATTTATAGATACTTTCTAAGTTGTAGAAGATGCTTTTTAAAAGTAGGGAGTTTCTAAGTTCTTAGTCAAGTTCTCCAAAGGTTATTAGATAATTTAGTCCCGATAAGAATAGTTCTATATTCTTGTAGGAAACAAAGATACACTCCTAACCCTATGTGATCCTTTGTGCTATTCACACAAAATTAACACGATTGAACTGTGTATTAATCAATCAACATAGAGATATAATCGGTTTTGAACTCATGTTCCAATAGGTAGGATAAAAAATTTTCTCCCTCGAGTTCCAGAATTAACTAGCATCTAGTCATTCAATTAGTGACCAGTTAATTAAAAACATTAAATTAACAACAAAAATAAATGGAATTGAAAATTTTGATAGAAATCTCTTAAACAAAATCAAATCATATAATCTAGTTTTGGCTAATCTAGGGATGGTTGAATCTGGGGATGTCAACGAGTCGGCTCACGAGCCAAAACATGAGGCTCGGGTTCGGCTCGAGTAAAATCAAGACAATTTTTTTGCTTGAGTCGAGCTTTGGCCAAAAATTCGAGACTCGACTTGAACTTTCGACTGGACTTTTTTTTCTTACGAGTAGGCCAGTTGATCGAGCTCGGCCCGACACCCCAAAATGGGGTTCGGTTCAAGTCGAGTCACTGACAAACCAAATTGACATCCCGAGGCAATCAACCTATATCAATATCAAAACACACAAATATGTTTCTCAGGAACAGCTAAATTGCTGTGTTTTTTCCAACCTACATCCCCTACTGCAGGTAGTTTCATCCTGAGCTCACTGCTTAATTTTCCCAACCCGCGTCCTCCTACAGCAGGAAGTTGTAACATATTGTTACGAATTTTTACGATGTAAATATACTGCAAGTGTACGTTGTTAAGTTTAGTAATATAAGATCAAGTACAGATGTCTAACCAAAACTATTCATCTATAGTTCTAAATAATCTAATGATTAATATGATGATGAATTCAACAAATAAATTGCAAGTTAAAAGAATGATCAAGATAAGAAAACCTAGATTTATGATTTCAATAACTATGAAATATGTTTCTTAATTATAAAATTATTTTTAATCAATTTTTCAAAGTTATAAACAGTAACCTAATCAATTTTTACTCACTCTCTCGAGTGTCAAGTAAAAGCTATTCTTATATTTCAATTTCAACGTCTTTATTAATTGGAACATGCTTCAAAAGAATTATACATTCTCTCAATACTTATTATTTCCTAGATTGTGTTATTCTAAGATCATGCCTAATTTCCCACTTTCAAGTGCCAAGATTGACTGGTATCAAATTATTCAATTAGTGTGACCAATACTTGAAAGCATTAAAACTAATAACACAAATGAAAAATTTTTGAAAAATCTTATAAAAATAACTAAAATAAATCAAATCATATTCACAAGTTTTGGATAATTTTGCCCTATATTTGAAAAAAAAACAAAAACAAAACTATGCAATTCACAAAAAAACTATGCAATTCACAAAGATAAAACTATTTTTTGTATAGTTGAATCAATTTTCTTCGTCAAGTAGGCTTTGCTTCATTCTTGAATCTTAACCCTTCAATTCCCACAATAGTGGTATTTAGGTTCGTATTTATAGTATCTTGAGTCTTGGAAGGGTTAGGGTCGGATTGGGCAAAAAAAAAGAGTCAAAAAATCTAAACCTTTTTTTTCGCCTAGTGAGGCGCCACGATTTCTCTCGATATCCGATTGAAGCGAGCCAAAATGAGTTGGTAAAATAATTCAAAATGTCAAAAATAGGATTCAAACTCCAGCAAAAAATCTAGAACATACGTTGTGCGGTTGAAGATATCCAAAATATTCACTCATTTTCTGACTTCAAATTGATGCCATTGACTCTTCAATTATCATTTTGTGATCCAAATAAATTATTTTTCATCATTATTCACTCATCCCTTTCACTTTAGCATTTAACCAAATCAACATCAATTTCTCCTTGATTCATGCCAAAATCATTCTTTTATCCAAATTTTGCATCATTCACACCAATTCACCTAATCTATAAAACAAGAAGAAAATATAAATTGAAATGTTCTAAAACTCTAAAAATAAAAAAAATATCAATATTAAATGGCATTAATATAATGAGTTAAACACATTCATCAAACACCCTTAAACTTAATATATTGCTAGTCCTCGAGCAAATATTATTAAAAAAAAAAAAAACTAACCAAAACACACAAATAAACTAACAAATGCAATCACCTAAAACAAGTTTAGCTATAGTGCAAAAGCTAAATTCTCACACATTCAATGCAAAACATGTATGTGTGGAGAATTAAGTGCAACATTGTACATTCAAGAGTTTATCCACCTTACAAGTCAAGTATATACTTTCTTCGCTCGTGAGATTCACACACTTCCAAACTTATTTTTTTTAATTCTTTTTTCAAGGGCAATTTAAGGTTGATTTACAAATCACTACTCCTTACCCTCTCCAGTTTAGTTAGATTTTATTAATTTCAATTCTACATATCAATAAATGAGGATTCTTATTATTTTTTACTGCTTCAGCCTCAATGACTCAACCAAGTTACTAATCTCTTAT